AAAAAATTCCTCCTCAGGTGGCCTGAGGAGACTTTTTTCTATACGAAAAAATTCCTCCTCAGGCGGCCTGAGGAGACTTTTTTCTATACGAAAAAAATCCTCCTCAGGCGGCCTGAGGAGACTTTTTTCTATACGAAAAAATTCCTCCTCAGGCGGCCTGAGGAGACTTTTTTCTATACGAAAAAATTCCTCCTCAGGCGGCCTGAGGAGACTTTTTTCTATAGGAAAAAAATTCCTCCTCAGGCGGCCTGAGGAGACTTTTTTCTATAGGAAAAAAATTCCTCCTCAGGCGGCCTGAGGAGACTTTTTTCTATAGGAAAAAAATTCCTCCTCAGGTTGCCTGAGGAGACTTTTTTCTATAGGAAAAAATTCCTCCTCCGGTTGCCTGAGGAGACTTTTTTCTATAGGAAAAAATTCCTCCTCCGGTTGCCTGAGGAGACTTTTTTCTATAGGAAAAAATTCCTCCTCCGGTTGCCTGAGGAGACTTTTTTCTATAGGAAAAAATTCCTCCTTCGGTTGCCTGAGGAGACTTTTTTCTATAGGAAAAAATTCCTCCTCAGGTGGCCTGAGGAGACTTTTTTCTATAGGAAAAAATTCCTCCTCATGTGGCCTGAGGAGGAATTTTTTCCTATAGAAAAAAAAGGAGACTTTTTTCTATAGGAAAAAATTCCTCCTCAGGTTGCCTGAGGAGACTTTTTTCTATAGGGAAAAAATCGTTCCTCAGCCCGGCTGAGGAGACTTTTTTCTATTGGAAAAAAATTCTTCCTCAGGCGGCCTGAGGAGACATTTTTCTATTGGAAAAAAATTCTTCCTCAGGCGGCCTGAGGAGACTTTTTTCTATAGGAAAACAAATCGTCCTCAGCCCGGCTGAGGAGACTTTTTTCTATAGGAAAACAAATCGTCCTCAGGCGGCCTGAGGTGAAAAAATTCGTCCTCAGGTGGCCTGAGGAGACTTTTTTCGATAGGAAAAAATCGTCCTCGGGCCAGCTGAGGAGACTTTTGTCTATAGGTGGCTTGAGATTTTTTTCTATAGAAAAAATTCTTCCTCAACCCGGCTGAGAAGACTTTTTTCCTAAGGAGACTTTTTTCTATAGGAAAAAATTCTTCCTCAGGTGCCTGAGGAGACTTTTTCTATAGGAAAAAATTCTTCCTCAGGTGGTCTGAGGAGACTTTTTCTATAGGAAAAAATTCTTCCTCAGGTGGCCTGAGGAGACTTTTTCTATAGGAAAAAATTCTTCCTCAGGTGGCCTGAGAAGACTTTTTCTATAGGAAAAAATTCTTCCTCAGCCCGCCACTGGCCTACTTTAGCCGCTCCACGTGTTAATTTATTCTTATTAAAATAAACGAATACTCGCCGCATCTTCCACTTCACCTGAATTCCTTGAATTTTACAAAACTATTCACCTTGTCTATCTGTTTCGCTGTCTGCCTGTCTTCACTTCAATTCCGACTAATTGCAATTTTGTGTATTTTTCTACTTTAGTGGGAATTATTTCAAACCGCCAATTGTAAAGAAAACGAAACAAGAAAGCTCAAGGTCGATAGGCAGCGGAGAAGCACAGCACAGCATTCGTTGCGGCATCTGTGCCAAATCTGAATTGGGAATAGCACGAGAAGAGAACGCATTTTTTATTATTTTTTAGTTAAATGAAAATGTAAATATTTAGAAGAAAATAAATTAAGTATCGGAATCGGGTGAGGTTGTTAAATCGTTGTTGTTGTTAGAATTGTTGGGGTTCTTGTTTGTTTTGTTTTAGTTTCTAAAATGGAAAATAGTTTGCCAAAGCTATATGCTGGTAAATATTGCCGGACTGTAGTTAAGATTGGCTTGGGAATTTCGAAGTGGGAAGATATTTGGGTATTTCAAATAATATTGGCTTTTGAGCCGGTCGAAGGACCAATAGTTTTATTGAGCATTTCCTCTCGCTCTCTCTCTCTCTCTCTCTCTCTCTCTCTCATGCAGTACTTTGTTGATGAGACATCCGATGCTCTTTAATTGCCCTAAGCCAACTCACTACAGATATCTTTGGCTACAGCTCGCAAAAGAAGCGGAATTTTTGAACCTGGAATTCAAAAGCCGATGATCAAAAATGAAGAGTTTTTTTGAAGGGTATCCTTCTAATGTAGGGCACCTTTAGACCGGTTCTATCCCTCTTGGGGCATTTAACCACTTTTGTATTTTTTTTATCTCAGACTTCCTTATCGTTTCTTTGAACATTGGAAATTTTGCGGAAGTAAAAAGGTAACAATGTAACAAATTTTTGTCTTTCATTCTTTCTTCACATGTGGCCTGTACTCCATAATTGCCTGCCCTTACTCACACCCATGCTTCCACTTATCTATGGCCAAGGCAATAGAAATATAAACACATTTTTTATGAGCCATCGTGTGGTGTGTAATAATGTCGATATGTAAGAAGAATATCGCTTTACTCGAATTTGAGTGACGTGGTACGAAAGAAGTACTGGCTGTCAAGTGGCAGGTACGCCACGATAACCATTGACGGTTGTTCATAAATAAAAATAATGTCATGTCTTTTATTTACCTTAGTAGCAAAGTTTATCGTCTGGAAAAAATAGCAGTAAATCTGAGAGAGACAGCTGCAAACCATATCAGTTCCAAAGACAAGGTCATTTGGGTATTCCCTATGATTAAACTCGAAAAAAAATAATCTGAGGAACTGTTTCCTCAGCCCGCCTGAGGAAGATTTTTTCCTATAGAAAAAAGTCTCCTCAGCCCGCCTGAGGAAGATTTTTTCCTATAGAAAAAAGTCTCCTCAGTCCGCAGCGGCAGCTTCTGCAGCCGCCCCTCCCTCTTCACCCTCCATTAGCTGACGTTGTGGCGCTGCCGCCACATGATCATTGGCCCCATAGCTGCCGTAATTACTCGATTCCGATTTCGTTCCCATATACAAATCGAAGGTGATGCTCATGTGGTACAACATCGCCTTCAGTTTGCGGGCATCCACATACACATTATCCTGAATGATGAGGAGAGACTTTTTGAGGAGACTTTTTCCTATAGAAAAAAGTCTCCTCAGTCCGCCTGAGGAAGATTTTTTCCTATAGAAAAAAGTCTCCTCAGTCCGCCTGAGGAAGATTTTTTCCTATAGAAAAAAGTCTCCTCAGTCCGCCTGAGGAAGATTTTTTCCTATAGAAAAAAGTCTCCTCAGTCCGCCTGAGGAAGATTTTTTCCTATAGAAAAAAGTCTCCTCAGTCCGCCTGATGAAGATTTTTTCCTATAGAAAAAAGTCTCCTCAGTCCGCCTGAGGAAGATTTTTTCCTAATGAAAAAAAGTCTCCTCAGTCGGGCTGAGAAAGATTTTTTTCTGATGAAAAAAGTCTCCCCAGCCCGCCTGAGGAAGATTTATTTCCTAATGAAAAAAGTCTCCTCAGCCCGCCTGAGGAAGATTTTTTCCTATAGAAAAAAGTCTCCTCAGTCCGCCTGAGGAAGATTTCTACCTATAGAAAAAAGTCTCCTCAGTCCGCCTGGGGAAGATTTTTTCCTATAGAAAAAAGTCTCCTCAGCCCGCCTGAGGAAGATTTTTCCTATAGAAAAAAGTCTCCTCAGCCCGCCTGAGGAAGATTTTTTCCTATAGAAAAAAGTCTCCTCAGCCCGCCTGAGAAAGATTTTTTCCTATAGAAAAAAGTCTCCTCAGCCGGCCTGAGGAAGATTTTTTCCTATAGAAAAAAGTCTCCTCAGCCCGCCTGAGGAAGATTTTTTACTATAGAAAAAAGTCTCCTCAGCCCACCTGAGGAAGATTTTTTCCTATCGAAAAAAGTCTCCTCAGCCCGCCTGAGGAAGATTTTTTTCTATAGAAAAAAGTCTCCTCAGCCCGCCTGAGGAAGATTTTTTCCTATAGAAAAAAGTCTCCTCAGTCCGCCTGAGAAAGATTTTTTCCTATAGAAAAAAGTCTCCTCAGTCCGCCTGAGGAAGATTTTTTCCTAATGAAACAAGTCTCCTCAGCCGGGCTGAGGAAGATTTTTTCCTAATGAAAAAAGTCTCCTCAGCCGGGCTGAGGAAGATTTTTTCCTAATGAAAAAAGTCTCCTCAGCCGGGCTGAGGAAGATTTTTTCCTAATGAAAAAAGTCTCCTCAGCCGGGCTGAGGAAGATTTTTTCCTAATGAAAAAAGTCTCCTCAGCCGGGCTGAGGAAGATTTTTTCCTAGTGAAAAAAGTCTCCTCAGCCGGGCTGAGGAAGATTTTTTCCTAATGAAAAAAGTCTCCTCAGCCGGGCTGAGGAAGATTTTTTCCTAATGAAAAAAGTCTCCTCAGCCGGGCTGAGGAAGATTTTTTCCTAATGAAAAAAGTCTCCTCAGCCGGGCTGAGGAAGATTTTTTCCTAATGAAAAAAGTCTCCTCAGCCGGGCTGAGGAAGATTTTTTCCTAATGAAAAAAGTCTCCTCAGCCGGGCTGAGGAAGATTTTTTCCTAATGAAAAAAGTCTCCTCAGCCGGGCTGAGGAAGATTTTTCCTAATGAAAAAAGTCTCCTCAGCCGGGCTGAGGAAGATTTTTTCCTAATGAAAAAAGTCTCCTCAGCCGGGCTGAGGAAGATTTTTTCCTAATGAAAAAAGTCTCCTCAGCCGGGCTGAGGAAGATTTTTTCCTAATGAAAAAAGTCTCCTCAGCCGGGCTGAGGAAGATTTTTTCCTAATGAAAAAAGTCTCCTCAGCCGGGCTGAGGAAGATTTTTTCCTAATGAAAAAAGTCTCCTCAGCCGGGCTGAGGAAGATTTTTTCCTAATGAAAAAAGTCTCCTCAGCCGGGCTGAGGAAGATTTTTTCCTAATGAAAAAAGTCTCCTCAGCCGGGGTGAGGAAGATTTTTTCCTAATGAAAAAAGTCTCCTCAGCCGGGGTGAGGAAGATTTTTTCCTATAGAAAAAAGTCTCCTCAGGTGGGCCTGAGGAAGATTTTTTCCTATAGAAAAAAGTCTCCTTAGGTGGCTTGAGGGACATTTTTTTTGACAAACCAAATAATTTTTATTTTTTTTTTCGTTTTTTTTTTAGGTTAAAAATGTCATACGACCGCGTTATTATTCTTCCGAACTGGGGATACGTGAGAAGATCTTTATTGGCGTGATGACAACGCAAGACAATATCAACACCCTTGCAACGGCCATAAATCGTACCACAGCCCATCTGGTCAACAGAATCAAATTCTTCATCAATGCCGAAAATGTGAAGACGAATTACAAACTCAAGAACATTGTGGGTTTCACCGATACTCGGGAAAATCTGCGACCATTCCATGTCATCAAATATATAGCCGATACTTATCTGGATGACTATGACTATTTCCTCATCATTCAGGATAATGTGTATGTGGATGCCCGCAAACTGAAGGCGATGTTGTACCACATGAGCATCACCTTCGATTTGTATATGGGAACGAAATCGGAATCGAGTAATTACGGCAGCTATGGGGCCAATGATCATGTGGCGGCAGCGCCACAACGTCAGCTAATGGAGGGTGAAGAGGGAGGGGCGGCTGCAGAAGCTGCCGCTGCAGGAGCGGGCGATGAATTCCGGATGTTGAGCGATCGAAATTATTGTGATCTAAATGCTGGTATACTTTTGAGCAGCAGTGTGATACGTAAGATGCGCAATAATCTGGATTGGTGTGTTCGGAATGGCATTACGAATGTTCATAGTATTAATATTGGGCGCTGTGTTAAATACTCGAGTAATTTGCCGGGATGCCAGGAAGTTTTTCAGGTAAGATGGGGGTAGGATTTTTAATTTTGATATAAAGGACAAAACATAAACAGAATTCTATAAAAATTACAAAACCGACGCCTGTGAAAGAAAAAAAATTAGACCCACTAAAATGAGTTTCACGATTTTTTTTCTATAGGAAAAAACTTGAGACCCAAGGGGGTCTCCGAATATTTTTCTATTGGAAAAAACTTGAGAACCAAGGGTGTCTCCGAATATTTTTCTATAGGAAAAAACTTGAGACCCAAGGGGGTTTCCGAATTTTTTTCTATGGAAAAAAATTGGACCGCAGGGTCTCCGATTTTTTTTCTATGGAAAAAAATTGGACCGCAGGGTCTCCGAATTTTTTTCTATGGAAAAAAATTGGACCGCAGGGTCTCCGAATTTTTTCTATGGAAAAAAATTGGACCCTAGGGTCTCCGAATTTGTTTCTATGGAAAAAAATTGGACCCTAGGGTCTCCGAATTTTTTTCTATGGAAAAAAATTGGACCCTAGGGTCTCCGATTTTGTTTCTATGGAAAAAAATTGGACCCTAGGGTCTCCGAATTTGTTTCTATGGAAAAAAATTGGACCCTAGGGTCTCCGAATTTTTTTCTATGGAAAAAAAATTGGACCCTAGGGTCTCCGAATTTTTTTCTATGGAAAAAAATTGGACCCTATGGTCTCCGAATTTTTTTCTATGGAAAAAAATTGGACCCTAGGGTCTCCGAATTTTTTTCTATGGAAAAAAATTGGACCCTAGGGTCTCCGAATTTTTTTCTATGGAAAAAAATTGGACCCTAGGGTCTCCGAATTTTTTTCTATGGAAAAAAATTGGACCCTAGGGTCTCCGAATTTTTTTCTATGGAAAAAAATTGGACCCTAGGGTCTCCGAATTTTTTTCTATGGAAAAAAATTGGACCCTAGGGTCTCCGAATTTTTTTCTATGGGAAAAAATTGGGCCCTAGGGTCTCCGAATTTTTTTCTATGGGAAAAAATTGGGCCCTAGGGTCTCCGAATTTTTTTCTATGGAAAAAAATTGGACCCTAGGGTCTCCGAATTTTTTTCTATGGAAAAAAATTGGACCCTAGGGTCTCCGAATTTTTTTCTATGGAAAAAAATTGGACCCTAGGGTCTCCGAATTTTTTTCTATGGAAAAAAATTGGACCCTAGGGTCTCCGAATTTTTTTCTATGGAAAAAAATTGGACCACAGGCTTCTCGAATTTTTTTTCTATAGAAAAAAAATTGGACCACAGGCTTCTCGATTTTTTTTTTCTATAGAAAAAAATTGGACCACAGGCTTCTCGAATTTTTTTTTTCTATAGAAAAAAATTAGACCACAGGCTCTCCGAATTTTTTTCTATAGAAAAAAATTGGACCACAGGCTCTCCGAATTTTTTTCTATAGAAAAAAATTGGACCACAGGCTCTCCGAATTTTTTTCTATAGAAAAAAATTGGACCACAGGCTCTCCGAATTTTTTTCTATAGAAAAAAATTGGACCACAGGCTCTCCGAATTTTTTTCTATAGAAAAAATGTGGACCACAGGGTCTCCGAATTTTTTTCTATAGAAAAAATGTGGACCGCATGGTCTCCGAATTTTTTTTTATAGAAAAAATGTGGACCACAGTTTCTCCGAATTTTTTTCTATAGAAAAAATGTGGACCACGGTGTCTTCGATTTTTTTTCTATCGATAAAAACTTGAGACCCCGAGGGTCTCACGAATTTTTTTTCTATCGAAAAAAACTTGAGACCCTGAGGGTCTCACGAATTTTTTTTCTATCGAAAAAAACTTGAGACCCCGAGGGTCTCACGAATTTTTTCTATAGGAAAAAACTTGAGACCTCGAGGGTCTCACGAATTTTTTTCTATAGGAAAAAACTTGAGACCTCGAGGGTCTCCCGAATTTTTTTCTATAGAAAAACACTTGAGACCCCCAAGGGTCTCCTGTTTTTCATCCGAATTTTTTTCCATAGAAAAAAAATCGGACCCCAAGGGTCTCCCGAGCCAAGTCTCTCACATATTTTTCTATTTAAAAAATTGGATATTTTTTCATATAAAAATTCTTAATCTGTTTCATGATCAGACTCATGGCCAATTGTCAAATGACACTGTCTGGTCATAAAGTTTTTAATGAGAACATAGCCATGAGCCGTGATAATGACTGTCGACCTCATCACTCTGCCCCGACCAAGAGAGATTCGCATTAAATTAATTTTCATTCACTTTTTTTCACTATGCCTCTAATGAGGGCATCTCATTGCCAGCAACGCTTAAGTAGCGGATTATGTCGACTTTTTTTATTAAACAAAGCAAACGAAATAACCCGCTCATAAATCAGACGAAAAAAAATGTTTCACACATCCTTTTTGCACCGCCGATAAAAAGTGCTGGCCTAACGGAAATCATGTGACGCATAGTAATAATAAAAAAGAAAATTTGAGTCCGAATACACTTAATTTAGTACCACATGCTGGAGTTCGGTTTCGGTCATTTGCCTCCATTTCAACGCCCAATACAGCAATTGAGGCAAACAATGTTTGGTTTGACAGCATTGCCCGGAAATGTGGCCACTGTGGCTGTCTGTCTGAGATGTCTGGCTGATGTTGGTTTGGAAAGTTGTCAAACGCCCAGAAATGGTATCAGGTTTGACAATGCCGAGTGTTTGGATAGAATGGCAAATCCACAAAAAAAATAATAATTGGAAAAAAAAAATTAAAAAAATTAAAAAAAAAATTAAAAAAAAAATTAAAAAAAATTTAAAAAAAAAATTAAAAAAAAATTAAAAAAAATAAAAAAAAATAATTTTAATTAATTTTAAAATTATCGAAATCAAGTATTAAAGTATCGAAAATGTTTCCCATATGATATTTTTTTATTGGCAGATTGTAGATTGAAAAAATTATTCATAACTTTTTTGTACCCCATCCATGCAAATGCGGTCAAAAAGGTTCAAAGTGCATTTGGGCCGAACTGCTGTAGGCATCATTGGAACACAACAATATTTTCTATTCAATATCAGCTAAAACTAAAACGTTTTTTTTTTTTATGGCAAATAATAAAACAAACTACGCATTGTTGGTAAGACAATTTAGACGGATTTCAATGGAAATCCATAAAGCAGAAACATGTGTTTACACACACACACACACACATGTACAGAGAACTGGGCTATCTATTCAGTTCCAGTCATGTTAGTGAGTAATAATTAAATGTGGCTCATGGTTCAAAGGTTCAAAAATTTCCCACTTTGTTTCAGAATCATAAATATTTTTTGTAAGGCTTAAGTGCTTTTCTAGGGGAAAAAATTCCTAGACCATTGGGTCTATTTTTTACACCCTCAGCCGCCCTCATTGCTATAGAGGGTATACAGGGTGAGATAAAAAACTGCAAAAAAGTTAAACGCCATAATTTTTACTTTTTGTTAAGTTTTATTAAATGAAAGCAAGAAATAGCATCAAATTTTAGAACAAGTTTAGATTTGTTCGAATTGGTCACCTTTGGCACGAATTATGGCCTTCAAACGGCCAATGAAACCGTCACACGCAGCCCAAATGTTGCTCTGCGGCATTTTGGCCCATTCCCGGCAAAGAGCTTGCTTGAGGTGATCGACACTTGGGTGTTTTTTTAGCGCCAACCTTGCTTCCCAAAATACTCCAGACACAATAGTCCAACGGATTGGTATCCGGAGATTTCGGTGGCCATTGTGCGCTGGAAATGAAGTGAGGAACCTCATTTTGTAACCATTGGGTGGCGCGTGCTGAATGCGATGGTGCTGAGTCCTGTTGGAATGTCCAAGGTCTGCGGCCAAAATATTTGAGTGGCCAAGGTTTAACTACACCCTCCAGAATATTTTCGCTATAATATTCGCTATATTATTCTGATGCCATCACGGTCGATTAATACGAGCGGAGAGCTACCATCGCCTTTTATGGTGGCCCACACCATCACCATGGCCAGCGCTTGAGTTCTTGTGGCCAACCGAAGGTGCACACTTTAAGCTGACCTCTTTGGCAAGTAATCGCGATCATTTTGTTTGTTTACAAACTGCTGGACAACGAATTTTTTCTTATCGGAGAAAACCAAATTCGGCACTCAGCACTTTAGCCCTTTGGAGTCTATTTTCTTTCTGTTGCGGTGTAAGTTCTTGCACTTTTTCGGATTTCAATGGTTTTACCCCGAGCTAATTTTTCAATATTTGCCAAATGGAATATTGCGATATGTTCAGCTCACGAACTATTTTTCGGCCACTGAGACGCGGATTTCGATCAAGTCGCTTCTTTACTTTTCGAACCATTTCCGCTGATGTTGCTGTTTTCTTCCATCCAATTCCTTGACGTCGGGCTATGCTACCAGTATCACGGTAACGAGAGATGGTACAAGACACAAAAGATTTATTCTCATTTTTATGCTGGAGTGCTCTGACGATAGCCACTTGTGGTTTTCCAGCCAAATACGCCAATCACGCTTGAATTCCATCACGAAAAATTTTTTTTCTGGAGAATTCTCACCAAAATGCTTTTGTACGCTTGTAAAGAATATTATGAGCTGTCACCGGAATAATTTTAACAGCTGTCGGAATGACAGTGGCTTAGGAATGACAGCAGTCTGAAGTTGTATATGCCAGTATACACTTTTCAAAATGTTACAATATGTGTTACTATCTTTCCTGGGGCCAGATATATGTGTCTTTGAACCCGGTCATGGAGTCCAAAAATGGGTCTTTTTCCACTTTTGGACAGTAAACAGTAAAGAAAGGGCGGGCCGAATTTATGATACCCTTCATATAACAAGTCGGTTGAACAATATACATGGGAGCTATAGCTATATCTGAACCGCCTTTCACCAAATTAGACATATGTGTTTCTATGCTCAATTGGGTCGTATATGCCAAATTCCATCCCATTTGGGCTAATATTACACGTTTGGTGCATAATAAAAGGTAAATCGGACGAAGCTATGTATGAGGGCCAAATCTGAACCGACCTCAATAAAATTTTGGGGAAGGTATTTCTGTG